AACAAGGGCGAGCATCAGCATTGCAGACAATCAATTGCAGATGTGCTTTCAGATTTTTGTGTTCGGTTGCACCGCGATTCAGAAAAAAACATAACATTCTAACGACGCTGGCTCGCGGACGTTGCGGCCGAACCCAGTTCCACAAGTTACTACTAAGGAGCTCAACGTGGCGACCAAACAGCTAGATACTAAGAAGGCCGCAGATACTAGGGGCAGCGTGGCTGAAGTGCTAAAGGAAAGCGGGAACAGTCTACGACATTCTGATCTTCTTCAATTCCGTCATCACGCCATACCCACCAACGCCAGACACTTGGAATCATGTCTTACTTAAAGTTCTTCACAAGAGCGGCGTCCTGCGACTGCCGCATAATGACCGCCTCATAGCAGCGATTCCAATTTTGTAGTTGCTGTTCTCAAGGCTTTTGTACAACTGGCTAATCCCCACGCTCGACGCAGAGCTGGGCAACGACCAGGCAGGGTTCAGACCAGGACGAAGTACGGTGGATGATTTGTTCACAGTCTCGGTGATGCAGGAAACTGCCGAAGAATGGCAGATTCCCTTGAGGATCGCCGCAGTATACTTAAATACCTCTTTTGGTAGCATAACTCATGATCGTATCTGGCGAGCGCTGACAAAGCAAGGCGTTCCGGAATGCTACGTTTACCTACTTAGCACATTGTATCAATATCATACAGTTGTTGTGAAAACGAACAAAACCAGCAAACCATTCAGCGTGCAAAGGTGAGTAAAGCAAGGCGATCCACTTCTTCTCTGCTGTTCAACTGTGTCGCGGAGTCACGGAGTCACTGTGTCAATTGTGTCAATTGCTGTCAATTGTGACAGCAAAATGGAATCAGCACAACATGGGATTGCGACCTCAGCATGACGACCACTACTGGTTCAACAATTTGAGGTTTGCCGGTGATTTGTTCTTCGTCGCATTTCTTCTTCATATATAAAGGAACTATGTTTGCAGATCTCACCGCAGAACCAAGTGGCATCGGATTCGCTCTGCATCCTCACAAGACCAAGGTACTTCACAACGGTCATGGGCACTCTCGCGCACGACGGCCACTTCCACAAATACGAGCGACTGGAATGGTGATCGATATTCTGTCGCCTCTCAAGTATTGCAAATCTCTTGGGTGGAAGGTGGAGGTTTCGGACCCCCACGGTACCGAACCGGACAACAGGATTTTTACTGCTTGGAAAAAGTTTTTTATTCAAAAGCGAGTTGTTGGGTAAGGATTGCTTTCAGAATGACAGACTGCGCTTGTTTCCAGGTGTGTCTGACGCCACATGTCTTATACGGGTGCGAAGCTTGGACGCTGACGACAGACTTGGAAAACGGTTTATACAGAGCGCAACGACACATGCTGCGCGTGATATTTGGGGTTAAACGACGCTGGCAACAATGCCCAGACAGCCCCTGCGGACGTCAAAGTGGCGACGCCGGCGCATCCACCAACGACGCGGGCGACGATTCCAGCGAAGACGACACCGACAGCATCTGCGACACAGCCCACGTGATCGAAGAGGCAAATGCCGTTTTAGAACCGTTGGTAGATTGGATTTGACGTGCGACAACTGAGGTCTGAAAACGCGTACAACAACTGAGTATCGAGGGTTGGGGGAAATTTTACAACGAAAACGGAATTGCAATTGAAAAAAGGTCGTTTGTGGACCACTTGGCAAGTGGCAGAAAAAGGTCTTATGGAGGCCCAACAACGACCCAGAGGGATCACCTCAGAGACGACCCGGGCGACAGAAAACCCGATGGACTGATGATTTGCGTAAAGTTGTTGCGCATTGCTGTGGGCATTCTGACCGGCATTGTGTCGCTACCGCACTGGCGTGGGGCGACTTTCATCGCGCATGCCTTCAGCAGTGATGCTGCCGCCCGTCGGTGCCTTGTCGTCCCCATGCCTCCTCCCTCTCGCACGGAATCGTGGTGTAAATTCGTTGGTGCTGGCCGGTTGGGCGGCATCGTCGACACTTCCCCCTCTCTACCCGCTTGGCCTCTCGCTCTGTTTCCCCTCCTGGCAGATGAAGAGAATTATCCGTCATCCCGCATGTTGGGACACGGCATCGATAGCAAATGGGTGGGCACGCCGAAGCTTGCTGCATATTGTCCTTTGCACGTTCGGGCTCGGACATGGCTAATATGCCTGGCGACCTGGCTGTTCACAGCCTCTCTTGAATATTTTTTACCTGTGAGTGCTGTTTTTCTGATTTTTTCCATGCAGGCGCCTCGGCGTCCCCTCGGCCGCGCTTTCATGGCGCCACATCCGCGGAACCGAGTCCGACTCCGAGTCCGATGATGATGATGATGATGATGATGATGATGATGATGATGATGATGATGATGATGATGATGGTGATGATGGTCATGCTGATGTTGTTGATGACGATGACGATGATGATGATGATGATGATGATGATGATGATGATGATGATGATGATGATGATGATGATGATGATGATGGTAGTGCTGAAGACGGTGATGGGGGCGATGCTGACGATGATGATGCGGATTATGATGCTGCTGCTGATGATGATGATGATGATGAGGATGTTGATGTAGACGAAGACGATTATGATGATGATGATGATGATGATGATGATGATGATGATGATGATGATGGTGGTGGTGGTGGTGGTGGTGGTGGTGGTGGTGGTGATGATGATGATGATGATGATGATGATGCCGATGATAGTGACGATCAGGAGGAGGATGCAGCTGATGATGCTGATGGTGATGTGGTGGTGGTTGTGGATGAGGATGGGGAGGAGGAGGAGGAAGAGGAGGAGGAGGAGGATAGGACGAGGAAGAGGAGGAGGAGGAGGAGGAGGAGGAGGAGGAGGAGGAGGAGGAGGAGGAGGAGGAGGAGGAGGACGAGTGGCGGAGGAGGAGGAGCCGGATGGGGGAGGGAACAGGAGGGGTGAGTCCGCGCCATGATCATCAATCGAATCGCTATCAGAAAGCCTGTTCGTTTGCCTCTCTCACAAGCGTTGGGCCTGCGAGGAGTAAGCTCTGACAGGTTCTGCCGGCCACAGAGAAATCGAACTACGGCTAGCTTCACCCTGGGCGGGGCTGTGAGCCCACTGTCAGAGCAGGGGCTGGTCCCTGGAGAAAGGGAAAGGAGGAAGGGATGGACGGGGGCACGAAACCAAGGGTTGGGGGGGAAGGAGAGAAGGGAACGAGGGGGGTAGAGGAGAGGAATGATATGTGATCCTTTGTTGTTAATTGTTTTTCCGATCGGCGCGGGCCCTCGCAACCCCTTTCCCCCTTCCTCTGGCGTTCCATCTTGGCTGTTTTTGGCGCTGTTTCGAGCAGGTGGACTCCCTCCACCATAGGACGCACTGTCGCAAACAGTTGACTAAGGAGAGGTCCAGAGCCAGACCCCCCCCTCCCCCCTTCCGCCCAATGCCGAAACGCCGAATAAAAAGCGCTCACCATGGGGAGCAAGAGAGGAGCGCGGGGAATCGGAAAGAGCGGTGATGTCCTGCATCCTTGGGGGCGAGTGCGCTTGTCGCGGACACAAAGGGGCAGCGCGGGCGTATATGCCTGAGCTGGCTCGAAGAATGTCCAGTGACGCTCGCAGGACATGTCGAGCTTGCAGCGGGCCTCGTGCTCAGCGGTGTGCGTTGTGGCCGCGCTGTGTTGAGACCTTGCGGTCTTGTACGTGGCCCCGCCAATGCGAACTGTCCTTGAAGAGGGCTGCCAGCAGCCAGGCCGCCCGCGCCAGCCTCTCGGTGGGCAAAGCGCGCACGGCAGGAGGCCGTTCGGCACTGGGAGTTGCACGACGCAGGCCTCGGCGCAGAATCGTGCGGAACGGGCCTGGGCCCATGATTCGCAGAAGAAAAATGCCATAAACATAGACTGGCGCTCCGCGCGGATTTCTTGGATCGGCGCCTGGCCCCCCCGGCGGCGCCTCTGGCGCCGCCCCTGGCGCGCTCCGCGCGCCGGGGAGTGGGGTCCAGCGCAGATCCGTGAAATCCGCGCGGAGCGCCAAAAGTTTAGAGTTTATGGCGTCTTTCTTCTTCTACTTCTTCTTCTTCTTCCTCTTCTTCTTCTTCTTCTTCTCATGACGAGCCCGAGGTCCACGCTGCTGCCACCCGCGCAGACGAGCCCATCGGCCGGCATGCCGCGGCACAGTGAGAGCACACGCGCCCCGCGCGCCGCCCCTCCGAGCAGTCGTGCGGGACAAGAGAGCGAACAGACACAGCTGTCACAGCCTCCAGTGCAGCTACCGGGGGGTCGTTGGGCCGTCGCACCTCTTTCCCGAGCCCCCCTCGTCCCTGTCTCGTCCCTGCCCTTCTGTTTCTTCTCCCTCCGTCTCGCCTCCCTTTCCTCCTCCTCTTCCTGGTTCTCCTCCTCCTCCTCCTCCTCCACCACCTCCTCCTCCTCCTCCTCCACTACCTCCTCCTCCACCACCTCTTCCTCCTCCTCCTCCTCCTCCTCCTCCTCCTCCTCTCTCCTTCTCTGCTGGGGGTTAGGAGGCTGTCTGACTGCACTGTCAGCGCAGCTTATCAGCTCAATCCAACCCGGCCGATGTCAGTCCAGCTTGGTGCATGTCCGCCCAACCTCGGTCCAACAGAGTCCATTTGCACTCAGCGTAGCTCATTCTGCTCCAGCCCAATCCAGTATCACCCCCTTATTTGCAGTTCAGCCCAGGGTAGTCCAACCCAACCTGAGTTGTCCGAAGTGTGCAAGTCTGTGCGAGAAAGTTCGTCGAACTGTTGTCGACCGACGGGTCTGTCGTGGCTGTGGGATTCCCGCGTTCTCTGGATATCGCTGCGGAGGGCCATGCGGAGTCTTGCTGCTGGACAGCGTGTTGCCAATGTTTTGTGTATTGCTGAGTGCACGAATGCACGTGCGCATGTCAGCATGCACAGCTTTGCGCGGCATGCATGCGCGCGTGGCCAGGGCGGGATGGAGCCCCTTCTTGGGCCACGCCCGCCATTTTCCCATATGGGGGCGGGGCGCCGCCAGGTCATGAGCGATTCGGTGGTCAAGAACGTCATCCTCCCCTCCCACGTCCCCATCAGTGGGGCAAGGGGGTGGGGTGTGCGAGAGGATGGGGGGGGCGACGGGGGCCAGGGGGCCAGAGGCGATGGGGCCAAGAGGCAAGGGGGAGTTCAGGAGGGGAAAAAACACACAGACACAATTTATCGTCGATTCCCCAGAAAATATTGCAAAATATGGGAAGTGGTGGGGAAGACAGAAACCCAGAAAATATAGGAGAATATGGGGAATCTTTTTATTTGTGTGTATTTATTTGTGTGTCCTGGGGGCGCCTGGGACACGGGGCGCAGGCCCCAAAGGCCACACCGAACTCTGGCGCCCTGCTTCCTTACTCTTCCTCCGCCTCCGGGCCCGGGAGGCACTGGGGAAGGGGTCGGGATCTCTGGGGCCACGGACTGACGAAAATCACGTCGTCGGGTGCTTGGGAGCCCAGACATCCGACGTCTTGTTTTCTTTCGCAACGTGGTTCCTCAAGGGTCGTGACCTCTTCCCAGGGATTGGCTCTTGATCCCTGATCCGTTTTCTGGTAAAACCTTCCGTTGTGTGTTTCGTCGCAACGGGAGGATGTTTGTCCAGGCCGTCCAAACGAGGTGCGAGCAGATGGAGTCGGAGGATCACGCCGCATCGCCGATGCGGCTGGATTCGCAGTCCAGCTGTCTCCATCCCGATGCCGCCGATGCATCGCCTATCCGTCGGCGATGCAGCGTGATCCTCCGACTCCACCTGCTCGGACCCCAGTTGGGCGGCCTCCAGGCCGGGACGCCTCCCCGTGCATGTGCCTCCGACTCTGGCTCCGACTCCGGAGCCGTCCCTCCGACTCCGGATCCCGCCTCCTCTTGCTCGGGCTCCCATTTCCGCCTTCGGCCGTGCCCGCGTCCGTTTGCACAAGTCTGTGAGCTATTCGTACTCATGTCGTCGTCCACCCGTCAATGGACTACGTCCTCCGAGACGCCTCGTGGGTCCCCGGAGGCCTCGGCCCACAGAGGGGCCCCCAGTGGGCCAACAAGAGCCGTCCACAGTCTTCTCGATGCGCGATCCGCCCTCTACCTCCTCGATCCTCGAGCCAACAACCTCGGTCCCCGACCCTGGACCCCCCCCCCGCCCTGTCCACCTCGGCCCGCGATCTGAAAACCTCGATCCTCGATCCCCCCTCCCCGCTGGGTGGCGGGCCAGCCGAGCGCTCGGGCTCCTTCTCGGACCGCTTCCTCGCCGCGACGGCGCCGCTGGCGGCTATCGCCGAGGACCAGGAGGCGGGCTGGGGCTTTCCTTCGCCAGCGGCTCTGGTGGCTGCCGCCGCGGCCCCCGCCGCCGCTGTTCCAGGCCGCCGCAATTGAACCAAAGTGTTCGAGGCGGGGATTTACACATAACCCCCGCCCAGAGCATCGATTTTCGAGGACCTCCGCAGGCGGTGGACATGGATGTATTTTGATCCCCAGGGGCCCAACTATATGAAAGAACGTGTTCTGCCGCTGCTGGCAGAAAACCAGGGGGGTCACCGGGGGTTTCACGCCCGTCCCCCCGCCTTCGAAAACCGGCGGGGGGGTCATTGGGGGTTCCAAACCAGCCCCCCCCCTCCCGCGGTCCGTCATGAAAAGGGGGGGGGCGGTTCACTCCTGGTTCGAAATCCCCACCCCCTCCTCACCGCTGGCAAACGACTCCCCCCTCCTCCTCCACTCCGGATGGGGACAGTTGGGACGGTGGTGGGGATGGTGGTGGGGAGTGGGGACGGTGGGACAGTGGTGGGGACAGTGGGGACAGTGGGGAGAGTGGGATCGTGGTGGGGACAGTGGTGGGGACAGTGGTGGGGACGGGGCAGTGCGACAGTGGTGGGGGCACTGGTGGGGACAGTGGGGATAGTGGTGGGAACCGTGGGGACATTGGGACCGTGGTGGGAACAGTGGGGACAGTGGGGACAGTGGGACCGTGGTGGGGAGGGTGGTGGTGGGGACAGTGTCGAGGGGACAGTGGGATAGTGGTGGGGACAGTGGGGACATCGGGACAGTGGTGGGGACGGTGGTGGTGGGGACAGTAGTGAGTGCGGTGGTGAGGACGGTTGTGGGACAATGGGACAGTGGTACAGTGGGGACAGTGGTGGAACAATGGGGACAGTGGTTGGAACAGTGGGGACAGTAAAACAGCACCGTGGGACAGCGGTGGGGACATTGGGGACAGTGAGACAGTGGTGGGGACAGTAGGGACAGTGGGACAGTGGTGGGGATAGTGGGGACGGTGGGGGGAGTGGGACCGAGGTGGGGACAACGGTGGGGACAGTGGGAACACTGCGACAGTGGTGGGTGCACTGCTGGGGACAGTGGGGACAGTGGTGGGAACAGTGGGGACAGTGGGACCGTGGTGGGGACAGTGGGGACATCGGGACAGTGGTGGGGATGGTGGTGGTGGGGACAGTGGTGAGGGCGGTGGTGAGGACGGTGGTGGGGACCAGGAAGTCGTTTGCCGGCGGCGAGTGGGGGGTGTTCGAACCGGTAGTGATTCCCCCCTCGGTTTTGCGGTGAGGGAGGGAGGGTTGGAACCAGTAGTGACCACCCCCTGATTGTCCGGAGGGAAGGGGGGTGGGGGCGTGGGGGGGTGGTTCTTGCTGGGGGAGGGGGGGGGTTCGAGTAGGGGGGGACATTTTCGGAGGGGGGTGACCCCCAGGTTCTGGAGGAAGAGGGGAGGGAATTTCCCGCAGCAGTGTGGCGGTGGATCACGCTCTCTCAAATAGATCCATACCCACCGCCCGCTGGGTCCCCAGGACGTCGGGTTCCCAGGCGGTGGGTACGGATAAATCCACGCCCTGCAGAGTAGACGGCGTCGGAGGATCGCGCCGCGTCGCCGATGCATCGGCAATGCGGTGCGGTCCTCTGGTCCTCAGCCTCCTCTGCTCAGGAGGGGAAAAAACACACAGACACAATTAATCGTCGACTCCTAGGAAAATGGGAAAATATTGGAAAATATGGGAATTGGGCGGGAAGACAGACACCCAGAACATATGGGAAAATATTGGGAATCATTTTATTTGTGTGTATTTATTTGTGTGTCCTTGGGCCCCTTGATCTGCGCTTTGCAGCAGGCGTGGGGTTCCCCTTCCCGCCAGGGGTCCCTCGTGAGCCTCGCTGCGTCCGTGCAGCGTGCCGAGTGTTGGGGCGCGTTTGGCGCGCGGTGGTCCTCTGCGACGCGGGATTCGATTTGGTGCTGTCTGGGGGGGGGTTGGCGCCTCGCGCTCCCCCCAGCGAATTTGGCGTTCTGATATTCTCGGGGGTGGACAGAACCCCCAACAGTGACACGTCGATTAGTGAATGGGCCGTTTTCGGTTCTCGAGAGGGCGCCGTGGCCGTTATTTTCCATGCTTGCGCCCGCCAGGTTTGGGCCTCAGGTCGTTTTCACTAAACCACGTTTTACTAAAGGGGGGTCTGTCCATCCCCGATATTCCTTCTCATCCTTTCATGCGTCTCGTCCTCCCAGCTGGTGCTGCTGCAGCTCTTCTGCTTCTCTTTACCGTGAGGGCTTCGCCCCTGCCGCTGGCCCTGTCTATCATAACGGGATACTTGCGAGCTATATCAGGATGTCTTGGCGCCGTCTTGAAGAAAGTCTTCTGTTGACGTCGAAGGCGATGCTGATGCTGCTGATGCTCCCGCCGATGATGATGGTGATGGAGATCTTGCTCATGATGCTGCTGCGGGCACTGGAGATGCTGATGATGATTTCGATGGTGATCTAGTGCGTGGCTTTTCCAGGAATCCGTGGCCTCGGTGACGCAACTATTGCGTAATAGTCAAGGGTCTACGGCCTCGAGGACGCGACGATGGCGCAGTTTACTAGGGATGATGGCTTGGAGAACGCACACATGGCGCAATTTACGGGGCATCGTGGCCTCGGGGATGCAAAGCTGGTACGATTTATATGGGATTCTGGCTTGGAGGACGCTCTTCTTTGCGTGATTTATGAGGGCTCGTGGCCTCGGGGACGTGAGTATTGATTTATCTGCTAGAGATTATGGCTTCGGGGACGCGAATGTGGCTTTCTGGCTTCGGGGACGTGAAGTTGGCGTGCTTTACAATGGTTAGTGGCCTCGGAGATATTTACAGGGGATCGTCGTCTCGGGGACGCGAACATTGCCTAGTTTACACGGGGTCGTGGCCTCGGATGCGCGAGCATCGCATAATTTATAGGGGGATCGTGGCCTCGATTGTGCAGATACTGTATACTTCACGAGGGTTTATGGCCTCGAGGACGCGAATCTTGCATAGGTTACGGCGGATTATGGTTTCAAGGACGGAAGCATGGCGTAATTTACAAGGGATCGTGGCCTCGGGGATGCGAAACGATGGCTTATGGCATCGGGGACGTAGCATGTAGTGTAATGTACAAAGGATTATGGCCTCGGGGACGCGAGCGTTGCGACATTTTCATGTGGGATTATGGCCTCGGGCAGGCGAGTATCGCGCCTCGGGAGCGCCGGCCCTCTGTATTCTTATGTGTCGCACGATCCCCCCCCCAGAAATTCTGAGATCCCCGGGAGGGCGTGGTGTTCGCAGGTGAATTTGGCCATCCCCCTCGCGCGGACTTCAGCAGTCTACGGCAGGAGGAGTTAACGCACGGGCGTCGCACGGGCGACGAGTGCGCAACGCACCCCCTTGTCGCGAAGGGGGGCAGGGTCAGCACGCTGGTCGCAGTACTCTTGGGCCTTACCAGGCAGAATCATCACACCGGCATCTGGAAGCCGCACTTGGCGCAGGGAGCAGCAAGCGGTGACCCCACCAGAGGGCCGGCGGAGAACATTTTGATCTTCTTCACGGTTTTCCCTTCTTTCGGATGCAACTGCTGGGAGGTCAAATTCTGATTTTGCCCTGGTCCGAAATCCCGCTTAATCCCGCTTAATCCCGCTTGATCCCGCTTAATCCGGCTTAATCCCGCGTGATCCCGCTTAATCCGGCTTAATCCGAGGCCCACTCCGGCGTAACAGCCCCCCAATGGAGCTTAATCCTCTTTCATCCTTCTGACGAAAACCTCCCAGTAGGTTGCCTCCTAACCTTCTTCGTTCCCTATTCTTCTCATGGGGCCAGCATCGCAGAGCGGATGTCGTTCGGAAAACAGTCAGATGGGTCTGGAGTGTCCTGGAGAGTTTCGTTCAGGATTTGGAGGTGTATTTCGTGCTGATTTTTTCTGGCCAGGAGTGAAGACTAAAACACATCCGCGTGAAATTCCCTCCTTATTCGCTTGCCATTTCGGGATTTAGCATTGACAGAAATCCACGCGCAAATCCGCTGCAGCACGTTTGCAAGGTCGGTGCAGTGACTCTTCTTCGTTCCCCCTTCTTCCTTTCCTTCCCTCCACTTCTTCGTTCCCCTCTTCTTCTTCTTCTTCTTCTTCGTTCCCCTCTTCTTCCCTCCTCTTATTCCCTCCCCCTCTTTCATTATTCCCATCTCCTTCCCTCCTCTTCTTCGTTCCCCTCGTCTTTCGGCGGCCAGCCCGGGTGGGAAGCGAGAGGGGGTGGGCCTTCTCAGAAGGCTCGGACGTCCCCCGGCCTTCTCCAGAGAAGCTGTCTGCGCCTTCCCCGAAGACGCGGAACATTCCCCAGAAGGCTGGAGGGCTTCTGATAATCAGGAGGGAAAGAACACACGCAGACACAATGAATCGTCGACTCCCAGGAGAACATGGGAAAGTATGGGAAGTGGGGGGGAAGACAAAAACTTTGGAAACATGGGAAACAAATGGGGAATCCGGTCATTCGTGTCTACTGACTGGTGTGTGCCCCAGGGCCCCTTCAGAGAAGCACAGCCGCCTTCCGGGAGGGACTTCTCCTCCTCGCCTTCCCCCCTCGCTCGCAGCCGATTCTCCCCTCCCCTGTCGCCCATTCCCCCTGCTGACTCCCGCTCCCTTCTCCCCCTCCTCCCTCCTCCCCGTTCCACCTCATGTAGTTAGCTGTGTCCCAGGCCCCTTCAGAGAAGCACAGCCGCCTTCCGGGAGGGAGTTCTCCTCCTCGCCTCCCCCCCTCGCTCGCCGCCGATTCTCCCCTCCCGCGTCGCCCAGTTCTCCTGCTCCCTCCCGCTCCCCTCTCCCCCTCCTCCTAAGTCGGGCCTGTCCCTCTACAGGGGGAATATGCAAAAATAGTGAAGAATAGCCTTATATATATATATATATATATATATATATATATATATATATTCTCTTCTTTACAACAAATATAATTACTAAGTTTGATTATGTTGGGAGTCTTTTGGGGTACGTTTTATGTTTCGTCAAAAATCCCCCTGTAGGTGGACATGCCCGACTTAACCCTCCTACCTCCTCCCCGTTCCACCTCATGCAGTTAGTTGCGTTTTCTAGCAGGGCGTGGCGCAGCAGAAGTTGTGAGGACGACGGGCTCGAGCTGTCGGGACGGCCTAGTGCAGAGGGCGTAGGCAGAGGCGGCACGCACCACTTGGCGGGGAGCAGGAAGCAGGGTGAGGAGAAGGAGGTGGAAGAGGAGGGGGCGGAGGAGGAGGAGGAGGAGGAGGAGGAGGAGGAGGAGGAGGAGGAGGAGGAGGAGGAGGAGGAGGAGGAGGAGGAGGAGGAGGAGGAGGAGGAGGAGGAGGAGGAGGAGGAGGAGGAGGAGGAGGAGGAGGAGGAGGAGGAGGAGGAGGAGGAGGAGGAGGAGGACAGGAGGGAGGAGGAGGACGAGCGCGCGCACGTCGCATTCGGGCGGCGGCGAGCGCGTCGCCCGCGGCGAATAAGAGCCATCTCTCTTTCCCCTCACTGCCCCCCTCCCCTCCCCCCCTCCCCACTCGGAGGAGCAGCCCGGCCCCGGCGCCGCTGAGGACCAGGCGGAGCCCGCGGTCCAGGGGGACGGGGTGGGCAGCCGAGAGACGCTTGCAGGAGCAGGGAGTGCGCCGTCTATGCGCCTCGCTCCCCGCCCCCCCCCCTGCCCTCGACTCCCTCTCTTCTGCCCTCTCCCACTCAGGAACCCGTGGGGCTGCCTGGACGTCACGGCACCGTGGCAGGCAGACGGAGTCCCGCGGCAACCTTCGGCACCAGGCCGACTGACGTCCCAACAGTCTTTCCCGCCTCGGGGTAGGGAGGCGTCCAGCTCCACATCGGCTACCACGGTGGGAAGGGACCTGGACCAAGCGAGCGTGTCACCGTGTGGTACCAGGACGGCCACGAGGTCACGCTTCACGAGATCCACTACGCGTCTCAAAGGCTGAGCGCCTTCGGAGAGACAAAAGAGTCGGTATCCGAGTCAAACCGAACAGGGACGAAGCCAAAGCTGTAGCCATCGCAGTCCGAGAAACCGACGGGGCATTGGTGGCGAACACCACGTACCGCATCACAGGCATCGAGCCCCAAAATATTACAAGGACTCATATTGCCAAGGTCCTTGCCTCCTTCCAATGGCATGGTGAAGTCCAACCCACGGCGTGGGCTAAGATGACCCAGGGAGACTTTGCCATCGTCAGAGCAGCAACGGCCCTACCCAACACCACGATACACGTGCAAGGTTCATCCATCCCATGGGCCACAGCACAGTTGGAAGCTATTGCCAAGACGGAGCCGCCACAGACACCGACGGCAAATAAGGCCCCACCAGCAGCTATCACAGCAGACACCCCCGCGCAGGGGTCGCCACCAGGCGGCCCAGGCGTTGCTGCCACGCCGACTCTCCAAGACAGGGCGGCCACCAGGCCGTACCGCCAAGCACTACTGACACCACCGTCGAGCCAGCAAAAAGGGCCGCCCAGCACGCCACCGCCAGAGAAGAAGCAGCGTGCGTGGCCGCAGCGTGAACGGGGCGCGCCCGCGCTCACTCAGCGCCGCTAGGCGCGCCACCGACCTTCCCGAGGAGGAAGGAGGACCGACAGCCAGCGCGGCCGTTCCCGAAGGGAAACCACGTGCCACCCGACTACGAGGAAGACTCAGACGCAGAGTGGTTGTCAAGGGCGAATGTCCAGGGTATGTATCAGGCCGACGCCCCACAGCCCTGGCTTGCTGGGTCGGCGGCGCTGGAGATGGTCCTTGCCGAATGGTTGCCAATGTGGTGCAAGGAGAGCCGCGACGCAGATGCGCCGCCGGAGGAGTGGCCGGATGGGAGCGCACTGCCTCCACGCAGGCTCGACGCACAAGGCTTAACGGGCCTGTCCCTCTACAGGGGGAATGTTCAAAAATTGTCAAAAAAATAGTGTGGGGACAATTTTTTCGGCGATGGGGAGGAGTGGGGCGTTTCCCAGAAACGGGCCCTCGGGGGCCCCATCGGCGGGCCCCATTGGACGCAGGCCCGGCTGCGCCGCGCGGGCAAGGTGTAGATCGACATGTGCAAACTGTTCCAGGCGGCGCGATGGGGCCCCGTGGCGTCGGTGCTTTGCGTTTGATTGCACGGCGGCGCGCCGGTGGGATCGATGCCCCGAGGAGCTCGTGGAGGCAGCGTCGGTCGCGCGGTCGCGCGGCGAGGCGGCGGGGGAGCTCTTCGCTAGATCCTTGCCGCCGAGCCCCGCGAAGTGACCCCCTGGGGTGGGGGCCCCCGAGAGCGCCCGCCTGGCGTGGCGCATCGGGCCGGCTTGGGGCTGCTTCACGGGCGACGTCTTCGTCGACGGCAGCGCCTGCGACGTCGAGGACGACGCGCTGCGTCGTGCAGGCTGGGCGATTGATCGTAGCCGCCAGCGATGACAAGGAGGTCGCGGGAGCAGCCCGCGGAGTGGCGCCCCTCGCCGAAGGGCCCATCCGGGAAGCGCGGGGTGGAGAGGTCTGCGCCATCCAGATGTCCGCGGCGCTGGGCCAGTGCCCCCTGCGGGTGCGCAGCGATTGCAAGGGCGCGGCCAGGTGCGCCCGGGGCTGGGGCTTCGCCCTGAGCGACGCGAGCGCCCCCTCCACCTATGGCGAGACTGCTGGGCCGAAGTTGGAGACTAGGACGTGCAGGTGATCGAGGTGATCAAGGTGAAGGTCCACAGGGCTGAGGAGGCGGCCGCGATCCCGCTCGACAGTTGGAGGCGGGCGGGCAATGGCGTCGTCGACAAGGTGGCCGAGCCAGGTTGTTCGCAGCTGAGTGCAGGCGGCGTGCCCAGCAGCTTAGCTGGCGGTTGGGTGACGCGCGCGCCCGCGCTCAGCGGCGCGAGGTGCGCGACCGCGACGGTCTGGAGAGGGCCCCAGGCGAGGCCGCCCAGCAGCCTCTTTCCAGAGGACGTGGAGGAGGAAGAGGAGGAGGAGGAGGAGGAGGAGGAGGAGGAGGACTGTCATCGGCCGCGCCGCGGGAACAAGACGAGGGCGCCAGGGAGGGCGAGGTGCTCACGGAGGCATGCTGCGAGGAGGGCGAGGGTGCCGAGGCCGCCCCGTTGCGGCTCCGCGCCCATTGCATCGTGGCAGCTGCGTGCTAGGGTCAGCCAGACGTTCTGTTGTGCAAGTGCGGCGGGCCGAATGCGCGGCGCCAGCGGCGGGGCCGCGGCAAGCTTCTAGCGAGGCGCTTGGGGCTGCAGGTTCGTGGCCTGGCGGAGGCCCGGCGCCGACTGCGGCAAGGGCTTCGCCCGCATCTGCGCCAGAAGTACGCTCGGTTGGACGCGACCAGGGGCCCCCGGCGCGGCAGCGCGGGCTAGCTGGAACGCGGCGCTGGACTCGCAGGGCGCGGGAGTTGGGGCCAACAGGTGCGGCTTCACCAGGGGGCCCATGGACCGGGCGACGGTCGCCTCGCCCCACGGTTTTCTGGACCCGCCGGTGGCGATCGCCAGAAGGCGCAGGGGGGCGAGGAAGAGGCTCGCCGCCGCGGGGCGTTGGCTGCGGCAGGGTGCGCGTGAGCGCGCGCGGGGCCGTTTCCGCCCGCGTGCTGCCGCGGGTTCTCGGCCGGCTTAGCGTCGCCGCGGATGGACGGCGACCGCTGGTTTCGCCGACGGCTGGTTTCGCCCGGCTGGTGTCACCGCCCGGCGAAACCAGCTCCGTCGGAGAATCCAGCTCCGTCGGCGAAACCAGTTGCCGTCGGCGAACCTGCCCGACCCGACCCGCCCGCTAGGGTCCGCCCGCCCGACCCGACCCACCCGTTACGGTTCGCGCGTGTTCGGTCGAGCGCGCCCCACACTGGAATGTCCCGCCCGCCCGACCCGACCCGCCCGTTAGGGTCCGCCCGCCCGACCCGACCCGCCCGTTAGGGTTCGCGCGTGTTCGGTCGAGCGCGCCCCACACTGGAATGTCCCGCCCGCCCGACCCGACCCGCCCGTTAGGGTCCGCCCGCCCGACCCGACCCGCCGCCCCGCCCGCTGGGGTCCTCCCGCCCGAACCGACCCGCCCGTTAGGGTTCGCGCGTGCTCGGTCGAGCGCGCCCCACATTTGAATGTTCCGGCCGCCCGACCCGACCCGCCCGTTAGGGTCCGCCCGACCTGACCCGACCCGCCCGCTAGGGTCCGCCCGCCCGACCCGTCCCGCCCGTTAGGGTTCGCGCGTGCTCGGTCGAATGTGCCCCCCCCCCCCCGCACTTCAATGTTCCGGCCGCCCGACCCGACCCGACCCGATCGCCAGGGGTCGCGTCGGCGGAACCAGCGCCAGCGAAACCAACGCCGGCGAAACCAGCCGCCGGCGTAATGCTGGAAGAGGCTCGGCTCGTTGTGCTGGGTGCCTGTCCCCGTGGCCCATGCTGTGGCCCCAGGGGTCGGGCCGTGCCGGCCCGGGTGCTCTCGGGGGCCCCTGGGGGCCCGTCGTTTTCGATTGGCCGCGCGGGGCGTGGGCCCGTCCTGGTGGCGTGGCTCGGCTTCGACCGGGCATGCAGGCCTTCAGCCTTCAGCCTTCTCCCTCCCCTCCCACCCGTCCTCCTCCGCAACTTCCCGTTCCGGAGCAGGGGCGCGTCGTCGTCGCGCGTCGCCGTGCGTCGGGGGCCCTCGGGCTATGCGACGGCGGAAGCGGCGGCGGCGACGACGACAACGGCGGCGGCGACGGCGGCGGCGACGCCGACGCCGACGCCGACGCCAGCGGAAAAAACACACAGACACAATTAATCGTCGATCCCCAAGAAAGATATGGGAAAATATGGGAAGTGTGGGGGAAAACGAGAACCCAGAAAATATGAGAACACATGGGGAATCCTTTTATTTGTGTGTATTTATTTGTGTGTCCCAGGGCCCCTTCATCTTTGGAGCCGGGCACGACTTGAACTCCCGGAGATTCGCGCGGAGTTTCTCGGATCCGTGCGGGAGGTGTCTCGGAGGCGCCGCGATGAGGCTCCGGCGTTGCCGGTTGTGCGGGCGAGGCCAGCGCTGCAGCGGAGGAGAGCGGTACACTAATCGGGTGTACGCAGTGAGTCTCGTGTCCGCGGTGCCCTGAGTCGAGCAGGACTTCGTCTCTGTCTCGGGGCGGCGTGCCGCCGCTGGGTGTGGCTAGGCCCATGGGATTTGCCAAAACGTTCCCGAGAAAGGGGCATCCCTGTCTTGCGTCGTCGGTCGTCGTGAGTTGGTGTCGCTGGTCGTCGGCGGGCGCTGTGCAAGTGTGGGTAGGAGTGGGGGTCGGAGAGGGGGTCGGAGTGGGCGTGTGATGTCGTGTCTCTCCGCAAGTGAGTGCTAGTTTAAGCGCTCACGCTAATCACAATGATTGGTCCGATCAACCCAATACCGCCTCTACCGACATTAATTTTTCAAACACTATTTGTTTAGTGCAGCGGAAGCTGTAGTAGCCGAGAGGCACCGCGGGGCGCTTTCTGGTAGGCTCAGTATCGTACCATTCAATACTAGTGTTGTTGCCATCGACGCCCCCTGCCGCCGATCCCCTCTCTATCATAATGGGATATATGAGAGTCGCGAACATCATGCGGGGGTGGGTAGGAATCATCAGCGCATATTGAGGCGTTGGCGTTATCGAAGACGCCTACGGC